TGTTCGTCCCTGCATTCGGTACACTCCTTCGTCGTGCTCCGTGCTACGACTGCCCCGAGTTCCGAGCGATTCGGGCCAGCCAACTGCGAGTTATATCCAGTACGATACACCGTCCATCCCGACCGTCATCACGTTCGTCCGACTCGCACCTCAAGCTTTTTATTTATTCTTCTTCAGCCCTCGCTGAGTGTTTCAGGTAGGAGGACGAGGCCCCGCACCGACCGCGTACGATTCAGTCTTCCGCCCATCCGCGGAGAGATCTACGTCGGACGTATCAGCGCGTTGCTCACCATCTCAACACCGGCGGCCTATTGAGGCCTTGGCGTGCCGGACCGAGAGGTTGAAGCCATATCACGAGTGCTGGACGAGTGCTATGGCATAGCCACCCTGGGGGCGGGTAGCCTCCTAGCCATGCTGAATGGTTGTACAGTATGGCGAATGAGACAACTACGAGCATCCCCGCACCAAACCCCACACCACTCACGGACAATCACCACGGCCATGGCACTACTCGCGGTGGCGCACCTGGAGAGGCTGCGTTCTGTGCTGCCCAGGGCAACCTCGAAGATGGGAGCGCTACTACCGGAGGCAGAGTAGACGGACGAGAGCTACACGAGCTGCACGAAAATGAACTCCCTCCACCTGAGGGCCAGGGACCGCCTGCTGAGGAAAGGTCACGACCGAAGAAGAAGAGGAAGACAAGTACCCGAGCCAAGGTGAAGCTCGCGACTCTGAACATGAGAGGATATGGGCCGTCCACGATGGGTGGCCCAGTGAGTGATAAATGGATGTTAATTAGCCAAGTAATTAGGGAGCAGCGCATAGCAGTGCTGGCGATCCAAGAGACGCACCTGTCTGCAACCAGACTCGACGCGCTAAATGCGCTTTTTGGAGCAACGCTCCGTATCTTCTCGTCGCCCGACCCGCTACATGACGGAGGAGCACGAGGGGTCGCTTTCGTGATCAATAAAAAGCTGGTCGATGAACCCGGAGTGGTTGTGGAGCACGACGTGGCGGGAAGGATGCTGTCGATTGCAGTTCCCCGGCCGGGAGGCGAGACGCTGCGAGTCGCGAACGTATACGCCCCTAACCGGCCAGCTGATAATGCACGGTTCTGGGAGGAGCTCGACCAGGTCTGGACGACAGCGCGGTCACGCCGGCCTGACGTGATCCTCGGTGACTTCAACATAGTGGAAGACCCAATAGACCGTATCCCTGCCCACCTAGATGACCGGACGGCGGTGACTGCCCTGCGCGCGATGCGTAGTAAGCTAGGACTGGTGGACGGGTGGCGTATGGAGAACGGCAACACGAAAGCGTTCACTTACCTGCAGACGGCTACTGGGGCGCAGTCGCGCCTTGACCGAGTATATATGGCTGAGCGACTCATGCCGAGGACGGTCGACTGGGAACTGCTCGAGCCGGGCATACATACCGACCATAAGTTAGCTATGTGCAGTATTACAAATGCCAGAACCCCGTATAAGGGAAAAGGGCGGTGGCGGATTCCCCAAGGCATATTGATGGATAAGGAATTTCTGGATCGAGTGCGAGAAATGGGACTCGAACTCCAAGATGCCCTTGCGGGTGATGAGGTTGCGACACAGCGACCGGTCGGGAGCGGGCCCCAGCGCCGCTGGGAGGAGTTCAAGCGTGAGGTCGTGGCGGTGGCGAAGCGGAGGGCGAAGAAGCAGATGCCTAAGCTTGCGCGCACCTTAGCCGCGCTCCGAGAAGATCTTGATACGACACTTAACCAGCAAGCTGAGCGGGGAAACCGCGAGGTCGATCTAGTCACGCACGCCGCAATACTCCAGGACCGGATAGCGGCAGTTGAGATAAAGCGTTTCGGGCTGGCCAGGAGAACGGTGGCAGCTCGGGACTGGCTCGAAGGCGAGACCATCGGACGCTACTGGAGTAGGATGAATGCCCCGCCTCGACCTGATGAGACTGTGTATGAGCTGCGAAGGCTGGGCTCCGAGCCTCCCGTGTATGCGAACCGCTCAGACGAAATGGCGGGCATCGCTGCGGACTTCTACGACAGGCTGCAAGTGGACGACTACGGTGGGGCCTCCGTAAATGAGAGACGGGAAGCCACAGATGCGGCGCTGGAGTGCATGACTGCGAGACTGTCGGCGGCCGATGCGGCCGGGCTAGAGTCCCCGCTGAGCCATGATGAAGTGCTACGAGCACTCGTGGGATCCGCTAATGGAAAGGCTCCGGGCCTAGACGGTATACCCGTGGAGTTGTGGAAGCTCTGCCAGAAGCAATACGAGAGAGATGCCGCCAAAGGCCGCCCTGCTTTCAATGTTGTTACGGTCCTGAGGCGGGTCTTCAACGACATCGAGGAGTCAGGAGTGGCGACAGGGTCGGATTTTGCGAAAGGCTGGGTGTGCCCAATATACAAGAAGAAGGACAGGAGGGAGATTGGAAACTACCGCCCTATAACAGTGCTGAACGTCGACTACAAAGTCATGACGAAAGCCATGGCAGTGAGACTGGCAGACAGTGCACCCACCGTCATACACCCCGACCAAGCAGGATTCGTTGCGGGTCGCCAGATCTTCGACCACGTAAAGCTCTCTAAACTCGTCATCGACTACGCTGAAGCGGAGGAGGTTAACGGCGCGATTGTGGCGTTAGATCAAGAGAAGGCGTACGATCGCATAGACCACGAGTACCTGTGGTGTGCACTGGAGCATGCCGGTTTCCCAAGGAAATTCGTTCGGACGGTGAAGGCGCTGTACGCCAGTGCGGAGAGCGTGGTCATGCTGAATGGTGAAGTGAGCAGAGCTTTCCGAGTAACGAGAGGGGTCCGACAAGGCGACCCGCTCTCCTGCCTCCTCTTCGACGTTGCGATTGAACCGCTAGCCTGCGCGATCAGGTCGTCCAGCCTGAGAGGCATCTTCCTGCCGGGTGACGTAGACCGCCTAGTCAATACCCTGTTTGCCGATGATACGACCGTGTACCTGGATGAGCAGGACGACTACGAAGCCCTCGAAGGTGTCCTCGCCAAGTGGTGTTTAGCTTCCAGGGCGAAGTTCAACCTGGAAAAGACTGAAATCATACCGATAGGCTCGCCAGCCTTCCGAGCGCGAGTGATTGCCACGAGGAAGCTCCGGTGCAACGCGGCTGAACTGCCGGAGGGTATACACATTGCGAAGGACGGCGAGGCAGTCAGATCCCTGGGGGCCTGGATAGGGAACAAGACCGACGCGGCGCAGCCATGGATGACAATGCTAGATACCATAAAGAGGAACCTAGACCGATGGAATAAGCGTCACCCAACAATGTATGGCCGTAAGCTGGTAGTCGGGATGGAAGTAGGTGGACGTACCCAATATCTTGCAAGGGTGCAGACGATGCCCAAGGAAATTGAGGATGAGATAGCATCCCTTGTCCGGTCATTCATGTGGGACGGCGTTGCGAAACCTCGTGTAGGCATGGACACCCTGCGCCAGTCTCTGACGAAGGGGGGCCTGGGTGTGCTGGATATCAAGCTAAGAAACAACGCCCTCGACCTTGTCTGGCTGCGTGAGTACCTGAAGCTGGGACCCATGAGGGCGAGATGGACCCTTGTGGCGGATGCTTTGATCACAAGAGCAGTAGCGGCGGCAGACCGGAGCGTGGAGCCTGCAGCGCGCTCGAATGTGTTCCTGCAACGGTGGACAGTCAGCACTAGAGCTGCGGCGGGACTGCCCGGAGACCTCGTACGAATGGTTCAAGCGGCCAAGAAATTTGGGCTGAGGCTGGAAGCGAAGAACCCCTCCGTCGAGCTGCGACGAGCTCTCCCGATGTGGTACCACATGGGAGAGGGAGTGGGTAGGAGCCAGGCGAACTCGATCTCTGCGAAATGCCTCCGCGATGCCCATGCGGTCACTACGGTGGGGGCGTGTGAGCGAGTTACTCGAAGACTCGACAATCACGCTCACCGATACAGCCCGGCGTGCAGCTGCTATGACTGTGATCGGGACAGAACGACACTCGGGTGTAGTAACCCTGCGAGGTGTGCTGCGGCCGCGAAGCGCATGCTAACGAGGCTAGTGCCAAAATGGGCCCCAGGAGGTGAGCTAATACCTGACGGCCTGACTCTGACCAGACGCCGACGAGCGGCAAACCGAGATGCCGCGGAAGGGGGAGGTCGAATCACCCTCGACCCATCAGTGACTGAAGGGGAGGAAATCCGCATGGCGTTCAGGGTGTTCACCGAGGAAGAGGACGATGTGGCGGCACCCCCGGCAAGGCGTCCGAAGCGGCGATTCCAAGTGCCGGAGGAAGCCCGAGAGGTGTACGTTCGTGCAGCACCGGCTCGAGCAGGTGGTCAGCCGGTCCTAGCCATGTGGGTGAACGGAGCTCCGGACTACACGGGAGCGTTCTGCCCGCTCGCGCACGACACTCCGGAGGCGGGGCTTGAGTGGGAGGCGGTCCACGAGGCCCTGGCGCAGACCCCGCCCTTCGCGCCGCTGCACATTGTCTCCACGTCGCGAGAAGTCGTGCTGGGCCTATCAAAGCGCATCGATACCTGGGAGGACAGCGCGTGGCTGGACGTGAGATACAGTGGTACCATTCGAGGAGTGGTGGCCTGGATCCGAGGCCGCTCTGCAGTAACGACGGTGCGGCAAGCTAGTGTTGCAGGGTCCGGTCCCAGGACCGGTCCAGGACTGCACCAGGACCGGGACCGGACTGATTTAGGACTGATATTGGTCCGGTCCTACATCAGTCCAGTCCCGGTCCTGGTCCCGGTCCTGGCTACCTCAGGCAATGTTCAGGACCGCCCAGGACCGGTCTGAACCGGTCCTGGACCGCGATTATATCGGGTATTTTCCCCCTTATTTTCCGCTATTTTTTCCAATTTATTTGAAGGTTTTGCGAATTGTTTGACCATTTTATGAGCTTATCATGACTTATGTTGACCCAGATTACGCATTTTGATCGCGCTTATCTCATCTTATCTTATCTCAGCCAGAAATCAATACATTCTGCTTGTATTTAGTGCTTGTAAAGGCATTATGGCCCAGTTGGTAGAGTGCTTGTGTATTTCTAGCCATTTTGGTGGGTGCCCGAGTTCAATACTGGCTGGTGCCGTAAAATTCTGGTACTGAGACTGGTCCGGACCAGTCCGAGACCGGTTCGGACTGCACATCGGTCCTGGACCGGTCCGGACCGGGACTGGACCGCGGTCTCAGTCCGGTCCTGGTAGGCGCTTGGTCCGGTCCCGGTCCTGAAAAATTGGATCAGTCCGGTCTCGGTCCCGGTCCTGGTCCTGACCAAAAAGGGTCAAAAGACCGGACCGGACCGGACCCTGCATCACTACGGCAAGCCGACGTTGACGACGCTGAGGAAGGGATACTGGCAGTCAGCCGTGTCCTAGAAGAGGCAATGAGCGCGGCAGACGCGCCCCCGGAAGCTGAGAGAGCCGTGGCCCCGCTCAAGTTCCTCCGAGATGGCGCGAAGCTTGCGTCGCTGACGCAGAGTGGAGCGTACCGGCTAATGCTGCGGAAGGAGTGGGAGGCAGGGAGCGGTATGCGTCCTACTACAGCACGGGTGGTCGCCCAGGTGTTGAAGGACCTCGCTCTAGGGCCAGCGGAAGAAGGCAAGCTATGGACGGACTTACGTGATCGTGACCTAGCAAGGAAGACACGGGAGTTCCTGTGGAAAGCTTTCCACGGAGCGCAAAAACTCGGTCGCTACTGGTCTAACATACCGGAGATGGGCGGGAGAGCAGTGTGCCCGCGATGCGGAGAGGAGGAGTCTATGCAGCATATCCTGCTGGAGTGCGGCTCCCCACCGGTGCGGACCATATGGCCGCTCGCCGCGGAGGTCCTCGACAAGAAAGGCGTGTGCGGCCCCGCGCTGACGTATGGAGCTATCCTGGGATGTGCCTCAGCCCGAGCGAAAGACCGGAAAGGGGTGGCAACGCGCCCGGCCTCGAGGCTGATGAAGATCGTCCGCGCAGAGGCTGCACACCTCATCTGGAGGCTGAGATGTGAGTGGGTGATTGGTCGGGACGCAGATGATACCCGAGACCACACTGTGGAGGAGATTCGGTCCCGGTGGCACGCAGTAATGACGAGGAGAGCTGACCTTGACCGCTCACTCACCTCAAGGAGATTTGGAGCCCGGGCCCTCAAGTGGGAGCTTGTAGATCAGACGTGGAGGGATACACCCTTCCAACACAAGCAATATGTACAGGACTCGATACCAGGGGTTTTAGTGGGTAGGCCTAACGCCGGAACGGGGCTGCCGACCTCGAGTCGGAGGCTCCGCGATGATGGCTAGGGAGTCCCACACTGGGAGGAATACCCCCTCCCGTGCGTAACGCATTTCAGGTTTGAGTCCTGCCAACCAGCACACCTCGCGAGGACGGCCGTAAGGCTCTGCCCGTGAGTTAGCTCCGCAAAAAAAGATGGCCAGCCAGTATGTTAATTGAGTCAAGCTCTGATTACCTTGCTTGCAAGGTCACCCGTACCCCCATAATTGAAGCCCGTATCGAACAACGCGGCTTCTCCCGAAGGCCCGAGTTAACCCGGCCACGTGTTGACCACGGTTGCGCGTCCATATGCCACCAGTTGCGATCTCACCTAGGGCAGGGGAGGACTGGGCCTCTCAGGTCGATACTTTGTACATGGGAATTAGGTCTGAGAGGACCCCTCCTCTGCGGACGTCTGCTTGTGCCTAAAAATAGATTCTTCGGCTCCGGGTGCCGGAGCCTCGTGGCTTGCCTTTTTCGACCACTCATCCTACGACCGCGCGGGCGTCTGAAGCTGTGTCCTATGCCGCATTTGTGTTTTATGCTCTGTAGCTCGTCTTGAAGTCGTTCAGTCAATTACAACTCACTTTTAATGCTTTTGGCTACGCTCGTACATGTGCAGGAATGTCTGCACGGACGTCCAT